CATTTATATCTCCGATTCGTTTTTGTGCTAACTCTTCGCGTCCTTTGTAATTTTCCTCGTATGCATTAACGGTAATTTTAATCCACAATCAGCTATGACGGAAACAAAATCCAAGTATTCAGTATGAACTCGGAAATCTTCACAAACCATGCAACCGGCCATTTGTGATTGTTGAGGGCTGTTATGCAACATGTCTTACAGCAATTTGGTCTGCAGAGCAATGTATTTGTGTGGTCATAAATCTGAGGCAGTAAATATCAGAAGTCTGTACTTTGATATTGAAGCATCGAGACCTTCTGTAGAGGAATTTTAATTCGATTTTAGTCGGAACTCCGATGTGTTGGCTTCTCAGGCGCCACATTTGGTGATCACGGGTCTAATTGATGGCATACTTCAAGGTGACCCCACCAGAGGCCTTCTTCTGTCTCGCTTAAAGCGAGGCGTTGGCGACGGGGAGTTGGAGGAGGTTGCTGACGAGGTTCGGGAGCTTGCTCTCCAGATTCTAGAAGTTATCCTTCGGCGGCGACAACGCTCGACTAGTGCCCGTCCATCGCCTTGTCTTCTTGACAACCAAGTCGCCAAGGTACTATCACTGTAGTTGGTTTCGTCTCCCCTGCTTATGTTGTATAGATTGGTTTTTGCCTTCACTTTAACCTAGGCGAGGGAGGTTGGTGATCTTGACTAGCTTGGAAAAGGAGCGTCATGTCACGGCTTTTGTGTTCTTAGCATCGAAACTTAGTCTACATAAATAATGTTACCCAGGCTTTATCCTAAAGCCGTTTTTATGTGGCGTTAAAGAGGTCACAGAACGCTGTTTTCCTTAATCCCTTCCATTTTGTCCTTCAGCTGGTGCCCCTGCTTTTGAGCCTGCTGAAGCACGACCCAAACTACAATTACCCCGATGAGTAAGTGCCTTCTAATTTATTGACGTCAAATCTCGCTGGTGTAGAGCTTGCTTGCTTTGATGCCGGACATGCTGCACTAAGCCTCAAGGAATTAAGTTGTAATTGCTTAATTCCTTGAACTGCTTCATCTTGCTTAGCTCTGAAGCAGCGATGGACGTCGACGAAGACGACGTTGGCGGATTCAGTGACGCAGAGGACGACTTTTCGGCGGACGAATGTGACGACGACGATGACGACTGCTCCTGGAAGGTTCGACGAAGTGCAGCGAAAACTATCGACGCCCTTATCCAGGCCTACCCCGAGCACTTGGCAGACTTCTACGCCTCAATCACGCCGGTTCTTATCCAACGGTTCTGTGGTTCGTTGGATTCTTGCGTTTTCCCACTCAATTAGTATCTGGCTGCTGATTTTCATTGGTCGCTTGTCCTTTCAAGTTCTGGCATTTTGACACCCTGGCGTAAGCTTTGATCACGTGAAATTAACTGCCCTTGAAATTGCATCGGTGTAATTTTGACGGTTCTCAAGACACTGCGAAACAGTGTAACAAAGGAGAGAACACGATGCCATTAGTTCGGTTATTTACTCGAATCTGGCTAGCGCATGGATCACTTCTCGTTTTCATGAGAGTGGGGCTATTTTCGGCGGAATCGGCGTTTTTGTGTGCCCTTGTTTTCATCGATTACATGGCCACATTCAGGTGTCGTCGAAGATTCGCGCCTAGATGCCCTAATTTGAACTCATAAAAGTGATTGCTGATTTTAGCAACAGGCATTCCGATTGGAGGGTGCACTTATTTGATTCGCACAGGGTGGACTTATGTTATTAACGTGCATAATCATTTCTTGCTTTCTCTTTTTTTTCTATCCTACTAGAACGGATTGAGTCAATTCGCTTGGAAATTTTCGCATGTATGAATTCTCTCCTTAAAGCCACTTGCATCCCATCAACCAATCCCAATGACCTAGCAGCTCGTCTCTCTAATCCCAAAACGTAGGTCTGCTTCGTACCTAACGCCGCGATTATCGTCTTTCTTCGGACTTCTTAACTTGTGCACATGTTGGACCGTTGTTTTGGCGTGGTTTTACGGTGCTAAAGTATTTGAAGCTATGTATGGGGGGGTGCGCTATTTAACCAACTGAAGCTAACGAACCTCGAAACACCTTAGAGCCGCATTTCACCTCGTCGACTTGTTTTAAGCTCCCACTCCTCTATCGTTTTCCATTTGGGGCTCTTCGGTTATTGATTGGTCAGTTTCTGGGGGCGGCGTCTGGGAGTCAGGTCCGTTTTGCGCGTGTGAAGTTCCTTCCTCTGACGCTCCCAGTTTTTATTTCCATTCCTGGAGGTTAGTAACGTGGACATTGCGTGATTCGACCGCCATATTTGCTAGAGGTAGTCAGCACTGAATATCGAATAACGTTATATTATTATTATTCGCGTCTACGGCCCACTAAACTTTCTTGCAACACAGTAAGCAATATATCGTTTTAAAGATATTGTCTCTTCGTCTAGCTGGCTATCATTTCTGTCTAAAGAAATTTCCTCCACAGAAATGGGTTAACGGGAAGTTGTGGTGTTCTGCTAACAGCGGACACCTCGACAAGCTACTGAGCCCTAAGTATGGGCGATTGTAGAACGAAATAATTTTATTAAGACCGCATCTCAAAAGGGATCAGAGGGTAAATGGATGTGGTGAGATATGCAGGATAGGCACCACTCAAATCCTGTTTTTTATATGATTTAGACCTCAGGCTCAACTTCTGCACTTCATGCCAACCATTTTCCGGTCAATAAATCCATACATCAGCTCGCCAGCCGCCAATGGCGCCAAAGGGTCTCGTGGAAGCGGCATTTCGAACAAGGTAGGTGCCAGTCGTGACGTCCCACTGACCACTTGACTAATTGACCTACGTCCAGCTCTCGGAATTGTTCGTTCTTGCAGGACTTTGTACGCGATAATTCCATAGATTTGTCGGGGTGTAAATTCCACTCTTCTCGCCCTCACATCGAGGTCTACACAGCGTTCGTCGACTGTGCTTTTCAAAGTTAACCACTGACAGAGTCCGCTTTAGCCTGAATTTTGACCCAACGAAGTTGGTTGCACTTTTGTTGGTTCAATCAACCCCTGTGGGGGCTTATTTGGGCAGTACCACCGAACCTGGGTTTTGATATTCCATTGCTGGAATGCGCCAATGCCTGGGAATCCATCCGCGTCTGTGAAGAATGAAATTGCTGGTTGTATAGACTGCCGTCTGTGAACGTCTTCAAGTGCTCGGGAATCCGTATTTTGACTAGTTCAATGCACAGAGAACAGTCCATGTTGTCGTACTGCCCTGTTTCAGTAAAGCAGACTCTGGTTGTAGTGATGAAGCCACGATTAGACCACTATCCCAGCCAATGCTTCATGCAGCGGTCCTCCAGGTAACACCGTCCCGCAGGACTTGACTCAAGGCCAGCTTTAACGACCAGGCATTTAGGTAGACAGATTGTTGATTGCTGTTCTCCAGCCATGGAGGCTCGTTCAACGGTGCTGGTGATCAGGCGTTCCCCAAATGCGTCTGCAGGTGCAGTCGAATGTCAACGGTCAAGTAGCTTGCGGCATTTCAGACCTCTTTTTTTTTAAATCTAAAAACGGTGACCAAACCCCCGGCGAGGGGGGGATGACGGGTAAAGAACGACACCGTCTAATGGTTGGTGCGTGTTGTGCAAGAAGTAAGCATGGGCAAATCCAACACAATCGCAAACAAGGAAATCTACGTCGCGGCACCAACTTTTGCTTGTTGTCCAGCCATGCGAGCTGTCCAAACTGCTAACTCAGAACTACTGATAAGTGTCAGTAGTAGGGCGTGGAACAAATGTGTGGCCAAACGCATTAAACCTTTCCCCGCTTAGACAGTGCTGTTTTGCTTCGCAGACGAGTCCGGCGTGCCATCAGGCCGCTCTCAGCCTCATTCGCGGACTGGGTTTGGCGCTACCCGGCCAATTGGCCTCGCACATTGGCACCATCCTGACTCTCATCCGGACTGACTTTAAGTAGGTTCTGTTGCCACCACGGCCGCGTCGTCTTCCTAGGCGACCTCCTCAACTCATGTTTCACGCAGGCATTCCTTTGCTCTGTAGCGAGCCATCCACCACAAATGCTGTGAAAATTGAGCTTGTCAAGTTGCTCCTGCTGATTGTGAAAACGCACGACTTTTCAAGCTACGCACAACACGCCGATTTAATCAACAAGGTATGCCTCTTCATTGCCTTTTTGTTTCGTCTTGTGGCCCTGCGAAATTGTCCTTTTTAGCGTGTTTGTTTTCTCACGTGGAAGGCCAATTTACTCAGTTGTCTTTGTCTTCTTCTTTGAGCTTGTTATCACTGCGATCTCTGACCCCTTCTACCGCGTCTCCCTCGATGGAATGGAGCTGGCCCAGACGGTCGTGCTGCTCAGACCTCGAGGTAAATTTCTCCCCTCGTTTACTTGGAGGCTCAGCGGATCCACATTATGGACACTCAGCATCCAATTTGTGACCTTGGGTTTGCGTACATTGGCACAGCCTTCAGTTTATTGCGTTAGCTTAGTGGCGGCAGCAGTGGCTTCCGTGAGGTAGGCCTAATGAACTTGTGGTTGTTCTAATTTGGTACCGGGGTTCTAATGCTGACAGACATTAATCAACTTGGCGGTAGACCTTTGTCTGGAGGTAGCTAATTTTATCCTTGCTTTGCCATGCGTGCAGCATACTGCGGTGGCTTCCTTGGCTGTGTTGTGGTTGAAGTCCCTCATTCCGCGTCTTTGTTTAAATAGAATCTCGTGGCGATTTGAAGGCGCTCTTCCCTTTCATCCTTCAGCAACTTCAGAAGACCAAATGCGACCTCGAGCTCAAAGAAAAGGCCGTTTCCACTGCGTAGGTCCATTGGAAATGTTGTCTTTATCGAAGCACCCACAACACACCATTGCGTTTCAAAGAATTTAGGCGACAAAAAATGAACGTTCTCGATGTGAATGTGTCAAAAAATAGGGGTGGTGTGAGTCGTTTGTTTGGCCGGAAGGGATAGCTCGTTTGCTGCGGGACTCAATAATCCAGCGACTTGCTTTTCATTTCTTTCCACCACATGCCTTCAAGCGATGTCTTCGTCGGATGCCTGGGAAGCGATCTGCCCCAAGGGGAGGTCCAGCAGTGTCTCGATTTGCTTCTTCAACACCTCAAAAACGAAACAACTCGGCTCGTGACCATGCGGGCCTTCTCGAGCATCTTGACGTAAGCCCCTCGAATTCCGCATCGCGCCGATTTACTTTACTACTGACAACAACTACGCAATACGTTTACTTTTTGTAGAAAACCCCTCAGCGTGGATCCGCGTGGTCATTTGGTAAGCAGAAAGCCGCTAGTGCTCTGACAAGGTTGTTAGTCTCACAGGCCTGTAATTGCACAATTGTATTTCTCCTGCAGCCGGAATTGATTCGAGAACTGACTCCGTTATTGGTTGTGAAAGACCGCGCCACGAGAATCGCAGCCCTGCGTTGTCTGTCCGTCGTCTGCAAGCGGAACCCACAGGTGCTACTACTTGACTCACCTGATCGCTTCTCGGAAATCCTTTCGGCACTGCCCGCTCTCGTCTCTGATCAGAGGTTTCTGGTCGCTCAGGTAAGACACGTGTTCCCGCGCACACACTTTTCTTGCCCTTGAACTGCTTGCCTAGATGCCAAGCACGCCTGTCTGTTGATGTGGTTACCTTGCAGTATGATAGTGCCATGGAAATAGACCTGATTGTCTATTTCAACTCGTGCGTGCGATTCATTCTGTAAAATGTCCATAAACAGGTCGTAGCTCCCTACCGCGGATGGGATAGATCAGCGTGTGTGTAATAAACCAAAATCGTCCATCATCACACTACTAGGCAAGCTGTCCCTTGTGACGTTTAAAGGGGTAATTTAGTAGTGCCATCGCTTTTAGATCTGATGTCGTAATTCGTAGGTGGTGTTAATAAAAAAAACCGCCTTGTTATCGCTAAGTGTCGTCCTTTTGCCTTCCTGGTTGGAATTGCAACTGCTTGAAGATCCAAAGAGCTGGTAGGGTGGTCTGGCCGAATCGATTTGTTGGCCAAGTGGTTATAACAGATTTACTATTAGTAGAATGCTTGCGGTATACCGCACTCCTGCCTCTACTGATCCCTCCTCCTCCTCCTCCTCCCCCCTTCCACCCACCCCTTTGTGTCCGTTTTGCAGGGGGCAGTTCACTTTGCCGGGGAGCTTTTGCAGCAGTCGGCCGAGGTGGACGCAGACGTGAACGAGAAGGTCGCCGACCTCGTGGCAAGCGCCGACTTCCTCGAGCCCATAATAGCGCTCGCCCACTCTAGTGTCCTGCACGGCCAGATGCTCGCCGCCATCCTCTTCCTCATGCGTTGTATCGGGCACTTCAAACCCCCCAAACAGCACCACCTCTCAATACCGGTGGGTGTAAAGCCTCTGCTGAAATTGTTATAAGAAGACATCTGTTGATAACATCTGAATTTGGCAATTGTGAATAGGCGCGCTGAAGTCAAAGCAAGGTGAAAACAATCCGTTACGGTAGATTTTAATAGCGGTTATCTTAAACAGTAACTGTATACAACAAATGCAGTCGCCTACCACTATTGTGGACTTTGAATAGTGTTCGAACAAATTCACTGTAGTAAAACAAAGGGTTAGGCGGAAATAACATGACAGCTGCTGAATCCGTAGAAGCATGTAATTGTCTCGCTGTGTGTGTTTAGTTTGTTCTTTCGCGCCTTCTGCAACCGCTGGACGCTGCCGTCAACCGCTCGGCGGCGACTAGTGGTGACACAGCGGCTGCTGCAGCAGCGGTCAGAGAATCTTTGCCGAATTTGGCGCGCATCACGGCTGAGCTCATTCTCCAACTGCCGCTCTGCGCCCCAAAAGTCAGCGGCCATCTCAATTCCATTAACGGCGCAATTGATGACTTGCTTGTCGTTGCAAAGGTGAGAAATTCGCAATTGGCCTGCGAGTCTTTCTTTGCTAGATTTAGTTTCGACTCAATTAAGCCATTGAGCTAGTGTGTGTACGTGGTAACTTCCATTGCCTTTTTTCAACTTTTGTAGGATCCATCAACGCCGGATGTGAAACGCTATCTAAACTTTCTGATATTTGGTGAAATCGGGTGTAAAATGTAAGTTTCATATCTGCCTTACTTAATTCTGAGACAATCGTAATGTTTCCACAACTAACACCAAGCAAACTGTACCGCGTTTAGGGGTGGGGCACGCAATGTCTGATTCTGATTGTTCTGTGAGTTCAGAAGAACAAAACCAGTCTCATGGTATGTGCTTAGTTGAGCGTAAGTAATTGAGGAGGATAACTGATTCTGCACGTAGTCGGTGGCTCTCTGTATCGGGTCGCGAATTCACAGTCACTATTCCGCCATCATGTTGATATCAGTTATGTTCTTTTAATCTTCTTCACTCTTAAGTGGTATTTAATCGATAATTCTGTACAGTTGAATAATTGTATATTTCCGAGTGTTAACTACTCAACCCTCTGCATTTCCGTAGCAACCTGAGTGATCGTCAGGACGTGGTGGGCTTGCTGATGACGTGCCTGACCACCGAGGCCGACAAACCCGCGGACGTGGAGGGTGGCGGCTACTCTGAGCTGCGACCCTTCGCTGCGACGAGCCTCGGTCGCCTGGCGGTCGGCCAGCCCGCCAAAATGCTCCCCTTCCTCCTGCAAGCCATCACAGACGCCGACCAACAGCACACGGAGCATCACCTAGTGGTGTTCTATCTGCTGCAAGCGCTGCGTGAGGTTAGTCTCTGCCTTTGGCTCGTTGGCTAAGCCGTCTTGAAAGTCAAACATCATCATGGGTCCGTAGAGCTGCTACTGTGAATGACGTTTACCACAGTCAATTCACTACCTTGATAAGTGTGCCCATCATTGTGTTTTACAGTAGCCGAGACAGTAAGAAAATGGGCGTTCTGCCCACTGTAGTCGCTTAAAGCGATGCGCGCATGTTGCGCATTGGTGAGGGAGGGTAGAACCATCTGATAAGAAGCCAGACCGGCTTGTTCACAAGGCGGCGTCCTAGCCTGTGTCTCGTGACCTTCGTCAACCGGTGCATTAGGTAGCTCAGACACTTATGCTCTTATTTTTCCCTTGCCAAATCAATGAGGCCCTGTTACCATTTTTCAAGTACCCTTTTAGACACTTTCCATTTGCTCCTCCGTAACCTTTTCCACCTTGGTGCCGTCGTTATCGCTTTTGCGAAGGCGTTGTTGCTTTCCCTTGCTTTTTTGCCCGCGTCTTAGTTGATAAGGCGACTTTGGTGACTCACTTCCACTACATGATAAGTTGATGGTGAAAGATTTGATTAAATGCCTAGAGTAAGAGCTTGCACCTACGCGACTAACTTCAAGATTCATCAGGGGGTAGGCGTTCAAGTGCTCATCCGGTGTGCCAAATCGTTCACGCTAAATTGGCTTGAGAAGACAATTGGCATCCTTAAGAGTAACTGAACGCAGACCGCTCGTCGCCGCGTCCTGGTGGGATTTCGTCCGGATTAACGATCATGGGTGTTGTCACAAAGGTTTTACGGGACTGCTGTGGTAATCTGATTCGTTAGCACGGCTGATTGGTGGAAAACCACACCACTCGGACATTCAAGTTATAATTAGTTGGAAAATCAACCGTCCTTTATTTGTGAGGAACAGCGATTTCTCGATTCAAGATCACTAAGATTCGTTTTGCACGCTTCCTAGCACATCGAACGTGGTAGCCAAAAGAGCGTGGTTAACGTTTAGCTGTGCATTTCCACCCTTCTTTAGGCCATCGCGCTCCTCTTAGAGAACAATGCTACTGAGAGTGTTACTGCCAACCTCGATGCCATATGGTAAGTCACTTTTTCTTTCAGTAGTCTCGTCTACAACACATTAAGTAGTAGGAATCCAACTTGTAACCATATATCGAGCACATGCCACGGCAAAAGAGGGCGTTGGAGCAACCAGCTGCGGCCACACAAACCCTTACTTTCGTCCATTCTACTCATTCAAATCCCGCACTGCTTCAAGCACCGAAACCCGGTATAGCATCAAGCTGGGAGTTCCAATTGTTGACACAGAACCTCGTGTCGTTATGTAGTTTAAGAATACTCTGTCGTTAGAATTCGTAATGGCACGCTCCACTTTAACTCATGTTCCATTGGACCGCCATGAACCATAAGGACGTTAGTGCATTAGACTTTGCATCTACCGCTGACACCCATTTCTCACCGGATTTCACAAAGTCGCAACTAATGTCTGTTCTCGCACTCATATCGACGGCTCTTTGGAGATGTCTGGGACCAGGAGACGTAATCTTAGTCCCCTTCGTTTTAGTTCAATGTTCTTGTGATCGTGGCGTCTTGTGGTATTCTGTGAAACCAAGCACTTCTGCAAGTAAATGGAATTTTCGTCACAACCTAAAGCAAAATAAAGGCGCCTAATTCAAATCAAAAGTTATGCTGACGCTGAAGGTGAATTGGCGTGCGGAAGCGGTTTCGTGGGCTTCGAGATATTGCAGAAATTCTGAGCCTATCAACAACTTCCATACCCTTAAGATAAAAAAACCTGGTCGGTTGCTTTTCTCAGCGAAAATCGGCATTTTCTTCAGAACATCATGGCAGGGAATTGAACTGATATTCCGATCGGTACAGTTGTTTGTGAAAAGTGAGTAGGAAATTGGTGGTAACTAACTCCAAACCGAATCCCGCCCTCTGATGGAACTGAAAAGGTTCCCCAGGTCACTCGTTGTCACCGTCAAACTGTGGCACTGAGTCCATTGTAAGGTGACGAGGCTTTTCCAGCCCTGCGGGAGTCCCTCAACTGGCGAACCCCAGAATCAACCGACATGAAATAACTTTCTTGGACTTGTGACTTTAAAATGGACTGTTCTAATAGCCTATTAGAATGCCACTGTTTCAGTGTTTTCTTTTATAGTTTTGATCAATGTTTAATTTAAAAAAAAACACTGACACAAGTAGAAAGTCCCACACCTTTTAAATAGAATTTAGCCCTCTGGTTTTGTCCGACTTTCTTGGACTGCGGTAGACTCATGCGCAAATAACCCTTAAAACAGGTGTTATTTACCTTAGCGTGGCTCTGTTGCAGGCGTCAAGTTGTCGCCGGTTGTACTCGAAGGCTTCCACCTCAACCAGTGCGAAAAGACTGCCGTTCCTGGTCTAGCACTGCGGCTTCTGAGGTATACAAGGGGAATCGATCTGGCGTTGCTTTATATTCAACCGCTAATCCCAAACACTTTAAGTTGTAGCTGTAGGTTCGACATGTTGAAGCCCACGAAGCACATAACATAGAACTTGTTGAATACGGAAATATGCTTCCTCGTTTGTAAGGTCGAACTCAACTGGAATGATTTAAATGACATTTAGTGGATCAGAAATTCGCGCCGAAGCTTGCCCGACCACTTTTCTGTCCGAAATTTCAGTAAACCACCATCGCTTGTGCGCAACCGTCAAACTGACCCATCGGTTTGCTTTTCGTTTTGTCCCTAGGATGGTCCTCCTTTCGAATGCCGGCCGTCCCGAGGAGGGATCTCGGAGCCTGGTGGCTGAGTGCCTCGGCCGCATCGCCATCCTTGCGCCAAAGCGACTCATCCCCCAGTTGGCAGCTGAGGTGCGTTTAGTGTGTTGTAGTGGTGGGTATGAGGCACGTGAGTATTACTCTGGGAAATCGTGCGTTGCCTCCTGCAAGGTTTGCCCGGGCCACCTTCGATTCTCTCCCTGTGTGTGTCCCATTTACGTGGTTGCGTCAATCGCCGAACTTGAAATCGGCTTTATTTGTGTGCGCACGCTGCACACGCCTCCGCAAATGCTGTTCCGGCATTAGTTTTCCCGGTTAACCTTTACCGGAACACTTCTGCAACGATCCATTGGCTGTGGTGGTTCGCAATTACGCAGACCATAGGGTGTTCAGCTTACATTATTGGCCTAAGCGCGAATTGATGTTCATTTTTGTGGTGTTGAAGAGCATCCTTGTCATGATATTTTTTCTCACTTACTCGTCCTTCTGTGCTTTTAAATGATAAAGAAATAATTTACCTACAAATTCCTCGGATAGCCAAAGATGTCATGTTCCTGTGTTATACTTTCACCCTAAAACACCGATTGGTATTTGCCATTGTCCAATTTTTCGCGGTTTCTCCCTTTGTGATAACTAACATCACCGTCCTCGTGTCACAGTGGGATATGTCGGTAGTCAAGACGCCAAATAAAAATCAAACGCCACATGCCCTACTTCCACATAGAGCCGATTTCCTTTGTTTTTTAGTAATAGATGTCGCATGAAATGTAGTTGAACCTCTTTGAGATGTCGAATTGGACGTGCTGCTTTTTTGGTTGGTGCAATAAACAGTAAACAAAATGCAAGACTAACTCACTTGAATGTTGTTAGTTCCTGTATTGTAGATTAACCTCTCACAGACTAAAACGTGTGTGGTTTTGTCAGTGTCGGTCACAAAGGTAGACCGCTCTCCACTCTTGCCTTTCAGCTTAACTCTCCCCAGGTTGCTGCCTCAAATCTCATCCGGTGTACCCTTGTGACAGCGGTCAAGTGTCTCCTGTCGGTCAGCGCCACAAGCGAGACACCCGACGACGGTGCTGATGGTGGTGGTGGTGGCAGCGGTGGCGCCAGTGCTTACTTCAACCGCCAGGACATCGAGGCAACTCTCTCCACACCCGGCCTGCTCTCGGCCTTCCTGTCCCGTCTCGTCGATGTCGACGCGGATGTCTGCAGGGCAGCCTTCATCACGCTCAACACCGCCGCGCACCACTGGTCCGCCCTGATCCGCCCCTTGCTGAATCAGCCTCTTGGCGACAAGGGCGGTACCCTTCTGGCTGAACTGTACCGCGGCACCGAAGTGCGCCAGGAACTCATCCGTGTGGTCCAAATGGGTCCCTTCAAGGTCTGCTTCGATGACGGCATCGAGTTGCGGAAGGTCGGTGTTGGTTCGTTTGTGGTTTCTCTTTGCTGGTCACGCGAAAACTCCATGTGCGTACAGAGTGGGACTTTCGATAACTTAAACCGCTTCGCAAATATTTTTTTATCGCCTCAAGTGCAGATTTTACGATATGCCAATTTTAATTAATCCTATGTGGACCCCGGCGGCCGTCATTTTTCCCTCGATATATCAAAATAGGGATCTACATCTACTCGAGGTCTCAGTGTTTGTCAAGACTAAATGCGTATTTTGCGGATACGTGAGTAACCCGAGGTGTGAGGAGTTCATGGGATTCCTTGCTTCGTGCTCGAGTTTCGTCTTGATCTGTCACACAAACAGGCGCTTTTGTCTGCACGACAGCGACCCCCGCGCTGTTATCCCACCTCCTCTTCGCTTCTTTCCCCCTCGATGCAGCTAAAAGGGCACTACGCCGTGTTTTTTTCCTCACACTCCCGCCTCGTCTTCTTGCCTCGTTATTTATCACTGTGCACCTATTTGCTATGTAAAAGTACCATGTCAGAAACACTTTTAACTTATGGCCCCCGTGGATGCTCGCACAATTCAGGGTGTTGTTATTTTTCTCCTTAATTTGAAATACCCCTTGTCTCCCGTGTCAATTAAGACCACATTGATTCCTACGAAGCCTTCCACTAAAACTGAATGTCGAGTGTCTGTACCGTATTGTCGATGAGACGACCTTTATTGCCGGATGTTGTTGTGTGTGCATTTGACTCCAACTACTTTCAACGCCCAGTCTTCTTGAAGGTTTTATTGAGATCGATACTGGTAGACCCAGTGGAGGGCTTCTATGTCCTGCGTGCATTTATTGCCTCCAGCTTCCTAAAATGGCACCTTCCTTGCTGTTGTTACAGCTCTGGCTAGCTTGCGTAAACAGCTTTGTGTTGTCCCTTGTGCATCGTGAACATTATCATCAACAGAGACGTGAAGCTAAGCTATTTAGCTGCCCTTTCCGACGTACTTGTCCTGTTTCTAACTGGAATTTTCACCATGTTGCCCTAGCAACACCTGTCATACCTTTGTAATTTGCATCCACAAAGGCTGACTGGAGGTGGGATGATACTTCTACTAACCCAGCCGACTATTCCAGTTCCGTGTTTGAAATAAGTGGGATAATAAACAAGGTGGAAGCCGTTAACGAACGCTGGAAAAGGTCTATGAGGGAGGAGAGCGAAAAGCTTCTGGCACCGAGAAGAGCCAAGCTTAAGCGGATGTCCTGGCAACAGGCGCGCGTCGTTGGCAACTGTGCTGGAACACCCTGAAGACGTTTAATGTGTTTTGAGTGTAGCGTGGATGGCTTAAGTGCGTTCCAGTTGTGCGTAAATCCCCTGATTTATGGTACCGGGGAACAGCTATTCTGGTTCCAAACGGCTGTGTCATTCTAATTGTCTGGACCGGGACTTACGTTTGTCTGGGCCATTCAAGTTGAAACGACAGATGGCGTTGTCGTAGTCCGCAATTTTAGCTCATCCCGATCACCAATTTCGCGTAAAGCCACCACATTTTTTCTCCTTTTTTGGGGGGGATTTGCGTCTAAAAGTTGCTTTTTGTGTCACGAAATATCTAAAAAATAGAAGCCTCCTTTAAAGCGCAATAATCTCTCAATAACGCTTCTAACAGACACGAATTTCCCCACCCGTCTATCCTAATGCGCTTAGTAATTGCACTTGGTTAACACTGGAACCGGAATCATCCAGGTGGCACTTGAAATTACATTGAATGTACATTTTTTTCGGAAGCAACATGTAGTGGGGAGTCTTACACGAGTTAGCAATCAGCCATATTGCAGCTGTCGCCTGTGTTAACAACCCACTCGATTCAAATTCGGTTGCGACCCTCTCAACGGCGCTTTGCTGTAGGAATTCACAAAGAGAAGCAGTCTCCTAGCGCTCGGCCGCAGTGTCTGTCGAGGTCTTGAGGCGCTGCCTTGATCATTTTAAATTTACACACCTCACCCGGCTATGTTTTCGCTTATTGGCCCCCTGCTCAGCAACGGTAATTGGCCTCTGCTTTTTAGACAGCATACGAGTGCATGTCAACCATACTGGACACCTTCGTGGAAGACCTGTCAATGTCCGACTTCATTGCCCCGCTAATCAACGGCCTAAAGGACAATAACCACGTGAAACTTGTCGTCTGTCACATCCTCCAGCGTGTCATCCAAGTCAGTCCCGTCGATGTTGCCCAAAGTGAGTCTGTCAGGTGTCTTTTTGTCAATTTTTTTTAGCTTTGCAGTTGTTTTGTGTAGAGGTTAACGCTGATTTGCATCGTCTCCTCTAGCCCACTGCAACTTATTTGCTTTCTTGACCAAAGCGCTTCACTCGGTCCTTGCACAGCTCCATGCCAAGTTCACAATGTTTGTTTGGCGTGGAATGATCTTTCAACGCTCGCGAATAACCCCTAATGTCCAGGAATGTGCATCATTTAATCCTCCGTGGGTAGACAGTTATTCGGGCTGTCTCGACACAAGACGGCCTGGTCGTGGTGCCTTGACTAGACGAAGAGTTTGTGTGGCTCATGCGTTCCCAATTGTCACCGGCAACCTCGTGCTGCACTTTCGAGACAGTCATTTGTGTTCGCTAAATCTTGGATGCAGGTCGTCTAGTTTATATAGTACGTCCACTTATGGCGCAAGAACGTGACCAGACGTGAAAGCTTTAAGTCAGTTTTTTTCGCACGAGTGCAAAGGGATCATCTGCCGATTGCGTCTGCTGGATTTGTGCCGACAGAAGCGTTTACCGACAGTGTGTCCTTACGCACGGTTTTTTTTCACAACCTACGCTGTCGTGAAATCCAAGTCTTGCACAACAGCGCACAACGCTTGTGGGTGCAGAACAAGAACAAAACAGTTGTATTGAAACGCGAGGGTGTGGAGCGGAAGTCAGGAGAACACGAAAGTTCACACGGCCGGCCTGTCTGCGGTGCCAGTGACTAACCCGCCCAACTACACAACACCGGTGGTCGGTTTGTCTGATGGCCAACTTTTTTCTTCACTCTAGAAAATCTCCCACACACCACACACCATTTCAGAATGTCGCTATTTTCGTGGGCCACTTTGTGACCCAATTTCGTTGTGTTTTGTGCAATCTTTAAGCCAATTTTATGCAAGTGTGGGGCAGCCTGCCATTTTATCAACTCCGAAAGCTTCTCCCGCCTTGTCAGACCCACTTCTCTTAGCATTTTGCCCTTTTGAAATTCTTGCATCGTCTTAGTGCCCTGTGCAAACGCTGTCACCTGTCTTGCGAGGACTTGATTGTGCTTCTCAGTGCGCTCATCTTTTTTGCTTCTATACCGATCAAAAACAGGCAGGACGTTCAGTTTGCTTCCACAATTTCTTTTGCAGTTGCAGTTCACACGGTGATGTTTTCGCGAGTTTTTTTTTCGTGCCTGGGAGCGATGAAACAGGCTGCTTTCCTCTCACTCGCTCCCGGATTAATCTGCTCAAAATTTACCATTTGTGCGCTATTAACTAAGCAGTCGCGGACTAAGGTCTGGTCTTGTGCAATATTCAAGGCATCATTTTAACTTATTTTCGTTCCTTTACATTGTGTGTAAGAATTTTAGTGTCCGAATCCGTGATTGCTCATCACAACTTTTTAACTTAGTTGCTTCGTGATTTCTTTTCGTGTAGAAATGGCCGAAATCTCCGGGCCCCTGAAGGAGATTCTGCAGACCAAACCGAAGGAAGACGTCGTGAAACAGGAGTCGGAGAAGGTTGAGGAGGTCAGACGCTGCGCCATCGCCCTCATAGTCGACTTCCAGCAGCTGCCGGACATAAGTAAGTGCGTTTGGTGGCTTGAAATCTGAGTGGTTTATTAGCCTAGGCGCCTATTCTTGTACCTGGGATTCACGCTCTGTAACCCATTTTGAATGCAGATGGAAGTTGTTGGCTACGGCAAAAGTTGGAATGCTTGTTTTCGCAAACAATGTTTCTGTTCACTGGTATGGCGCGCGTCTTGGCCGTTTGATGTGCGTCCACTGCTTGCCTTGTTTCTTGCGATGTGTGTGTGTGTGTGTGCGGCTGTTATCGTAGGCTGACGACAAATGTATACATGGAATCTCTCCAGCTGTACGGCATTTACACAATCCCATCCATACGTGACATCGCTCACTTGTAATTTTAGTAATCCGGTGAATAAGTCACACCTGGATGGTTCTTTTTTAGAAAAGAACCATCACTACAATGAACTGTTGAAAATCATTCAGGCGGATAGCGCGCTGGTGGCTATGTTCAAGGGCGCCGCCGCCTCCTCCACCTCCTCCTCCTCCACAACTGACGCGACGCGGCAGCCCCGAGCCGGTGTGGCTGGACAAGGTTAATTCGCCTGGGGTTCTGTGGTGCTACGCTTTGTTGTTATTTTTCTTCTCGATGAAGAAGTGGGCGAGAGTTCATTCCCCGGTCCGCGACGCCCCATTTTGTCAACGCTGATTGCCTTTTGTTATGCTGATAACTAAAAGAATCATGGTTTCTGAAAAAAAAAAGACTAGTCTTCAGTCTTGTTGAAGGAAACAAGAGAAAGGGGTTCATTTTGGTCCAACGTTTAGCCTTGCGAACAGCCCTTTCTATTCCCCAAAGTGTCATTCCGGTAATCTGACTTCTAGATCACTGCAAAAACTACACTAGCGGACTGTTGACTAGAAATTTCAACCGCGTGGCAAGGTATTCCTTGCGTAGAAATTCGATTATTCGAAATACTGATTCCACGCCCTTGTTAGTCGTGAACCAAGACAAGAACGCTCTCTCAATTTTTGTATTTGCCGTGGGACACTAAATCCGGTTTGCTTTTGCCTCAGCTGACTTCTTGGGAATGCCGTACCCGTGAAGAAAGTCATCAATAAGTGTAAAATATGGCGTCATGGGACTCCGGTGGATAGTTCAGGCTCCTGGGTCGTGGAGACTGGAGCCTGCATCACCGCAAGGAGCCCTTCCCCGACCTGCTAGTATTGTACGGTGGTTTTGCGAGTCGCCATGAACTCGCTGTAGTTTCTGGGATGTGGTGACTCAAAGCGCAGTACTCTCAGGCGTACAATTTGAAATGCAATTCACCTAGGACCCTGGGAGCCTGCCATGTCATATCTCCGTGTGCTGTAGTAAGCTCGTTCCGTCACATTGATTCCTTGCTCGAATTCGATTCGGGCGTGAATTCAAGTCTTTGTGCGTTTTTAAAGCATCCATCCAAATAGTTATTATCGCTCACGAATCCCCTCTGTACTTGTGGCCTGATTTTACTATAATATTTATCAAATTATTCTGCAGTTCATGTAAGAAAAATGAACAAGTGCTGTGTCTTTTGATTAAAGTGAATATAAGAAAACGGACATGACAAGTCAGTTATTGCTTCTTGTAATTCTCGCTATGTGTGCGTGTGTGTGGCCCTGTGTTGCCATTTGATGTTACCTTTTTTTTCTCTAAGAGAAAGAAAAAACTTATCGACTCTAGCTGCCTAAAGCAATTTCAGCCGAAGGGGTTTAATGCCACTTCGCTTCTAACTGCGTGCTCTTGGAGTCACAAAGAACAAAATCTCCCGTTTAGTTAACCTTTCGTAGTTCTTGAAGGTAACAACTAAATGAAGGTCAAAACCGTTACTTTATGCTGTGGTTTTTTGGTCAACATTGCTTATGCTTTGAGATATTCACACATTTTAGTTGAAATTTTACATAATTTTGACTCGTTTGCTAAAGACAGCAAGTCCTTGGCATGTTGTTGGTGTCACGTTTGTGTTCAAAAGCCACAAGTTTTCCTGCTTTTCCTTCGCCTCTTCGTTTTGGTTTCTGCTTGCCGTTGATGAACTTAGCTCTTAGCTAGCAAAGAGCAATTTGTGCGTAATCAGCTGCGCAGCCTTCCGTGAATGCGCTGATGCTTAGTTTAGGCTGCCAGTGGACCCACTAATTAGGTGGTTGGTGACCTACATTCCCTCACTTTTACTTCCTTCGGTTACGGTATGCTTTATAGCCTCATTTCTTCAACATCGATCCGGCTTTTTGGATAGGTGTTTAAACTAGGCTTGTGATCCACGCTTGCAGATTGTCGCGTACTGTTGAACTTCATTCACAAGAAATGTAAAATCCGTCAGGTCTGCAAAATCTCTGCCTACGTTCGAAATTTTATATGTACATCATGACTATTGATCAGGGCTGTTAAATGTGTAATGGAAGCAACTGATGATCTTCGTAATTTTGTCCAAGCCACCTACGAATTAGAGTTCAGTGGACCCTTGGATTTCTCCTGAACGAACAGTCATTCTTTGGAACTTTTCATCTTATTTCTTACGACCAATTTCCGCCAATTGGATCTCCTTGAAAATGTCGGTACATGGTTGACAGACTATCCGAGTCAGCATTGAAACAACAGTGGCATCGCAGACAACCGTTTCGTGCCCTCTAATTTTGACAAAATAAGTGCGTTGCGACCCACGGTGCGGTTTGATGACGTTGACACAGCCCGACCAAGCAAGAAAAGAGATATAAGCCAAGCGTAATTCAAATAGTTCATTGATGTAGTGATAGCGTGGTTGCACAGGGCTACAACTGGTCAATTTATGTAGAATCGGTTTATAGCAATTACTTAACAAACATTGGTATGTGAAGTGAATTCAAGTAAATCGATTGAATTGTGTTCGCTCGCTGCTCACCACAACTGCTACCCGAGCTCTAATTAATCGGATCGATAAAAAGTGACCCAAAATATGGACATAGGTCAAATGCTAACTCAGGCATGAATGAGAGACTTCTGCAAACGCCCTGGTAGTTACGGCACCAACCTCTATCACCTTGATTGTTGCTGTTGCATGTCGTCCACGTTAGCCGGAGTCACTAAAATTGAACACATAGCTCAAACCAGCTTCCCGCTTTGCTTCATGAACGACTTATTTTTTTTTTAATTCTTGCACCTTATCAAACAGTGGGCGGATTTAGATTAAAACTAGCAAGAGAAGCCCTGAATTCAGACATGTTCGGATTTGAGTGGTGCGTGATTTTCTTGCTGCGAATGCCAAGTCGCGAACAACTAACTAAGCAGACAAAGACGTCTCATAAAAAATGCCTTTAATGTGGAATTAATGATTCCTTTCGGAAGCAAAAATAGAAATTCCATTTGGATCGCAGTGTGCTTTTCGACTTGGCGAATGTCTGTTTATTCGAGCTGAAGTGTGGCATCTGGGGGCAAATCGTGTTTTAAAATATCTCTTACCCACTTTGGCACAACCTAAAGTTCACCTGTCAGTGTGTTTCATGGTTGAACGGCTTCCCAAGAAACTTTTCCATTACTTTTAAAGGCCAAGTTCCCTAGTTTCGGTTTGTTGGTTGTTAATAAAACCGTTTATATTTAATAATTTCCTGTAAATGGGACGGTTAAAGCATGATATGTTCGCCAGTCACGTGTTTCCCCAATTTGGGTTTCCAGAAATGTTTCGAAAAGATTAAAATTTGCTCCAATAAATTGTCTTCTGCACCTCAACATTCGAACGCATGCTAATCCGCAAATCAACAAGCCTCGGCCGAAGCAGTTTAGGTTGCGGTAAATTTTTGGGGATCCAGCATTCCCCATGACGGCTTGCGGCGACCAGCAAGCCAGCACAGTTAGCACTCGTGAGCGAATGCAGTTTGCAAGCGCGAGCGAACACAAATCAATCAATTTTTACCGTGAATGCACTGCTGTGGACAGGCAGCCACTGCGCGCGTGAGTGCTTACGCGACTGTATCGATGACTCACCCTCTTTGTTATTGATTTTTTGTTAGCAGTCGCTTGTAACGCGTGCGCATCGATACGCACACAGACGTTACTCGACTTTACGCGACTCGACTTGATTGGCGTGCCGCGAATAAACGGTCGTGTTCCCTTTTGACTCAGCCTTCTCTCTTCTCGGGTTGTGACCGACTTTAATCCATAGGGTTTTGCAGGTAGTGCTAATTTAGGCCCCTACAGGCTCATCACAGGTTAGGATTTCGTCGTTATTAATACAATTCCCTTAACCTCGCTACTTCAGTGGGTGAGTCACCTACGACACCCTACTGACATCTCCAGTTGTGTTAGTACGCCCTGGTCCATCAGATCACGGTCACCTTTGACTTAACTAAATAGACACATCCAGGCACATCACTCGGCCTTTGGCTATGACATGAAAAGCTCTCTGCACACGGTCAGGTCTTGCCTTACGTCTGCATGGGAAAGTGGGGTCTAACGTCAGACGAGGGGTATGGGGTACCGGCTGAGTGTGTGGTTATGGTTACGGGCAAAACGTCACACTGAGCCATTAAGAATTTACGTGTCAGAACACGTTCTTTGTGGTATGAATTGAAACGTAATGGAAGAAAATGAGCACCCCATTGCTGATAGTTGCAGATGTTAGACCATTATCTTGTTGAGGACCCCGGGAAGTGATCTTCAGCCTCATTGGAGTCGCCATGTTGTTAGCCCGATTACTTTATGCTATTAACCGATTAAATCAAGAATACCGGAGATGACGGATATAACCGTTTGCACGATAACACCTTAACTAGTGAAAATACAAATGCCCGAGCGGTGATGGTGGTAGAACACACCAGGAGTGCCTGAGTAGACGGTCCAGTATGACTGACAAGCGCACTCTGAAATGGTGGCAAGGAGTTGGAGAATGCGGTGACAGAGCTATCCGATTCGATCGAAATTTAGTCAAAAAGGATGTCAAGGATTTAAGTCATGGAGGTTGTGGTTAGTTTTACCCAAACAATTATCTCGAGTTTCACAAGTCCAGTTAAGTTAAACACCCATCCGAGTTTCATCACTTGGAGAGGATAACACCGCAAAGCTTGACTCATGGAAATCTTATGTTATAAAAAAGGCTTTTAGGTCGCTCTGATAATTCGATATTTGATGGAACTTCTCTGCACAACTTTGTTCAGAATGCTTTTGTGAGTAAAATTTGGGTTCAGTGTGTGGCGTTTTACCTAACTGCTGGGATGTTCGATTTGAAATCGATTGACGAATCCGCACATGATTTACTGAATACACAAACGTCAGACTCATAGTGTAATTAATTCAAATATAATAACCTGCACTCAAGTTGTGTCAATCGAAAACAAGTGGGAACAATTCAAAATGGCCGATCAAGTGAAGCATGATTGGCAAGTCAGACATCAAAAGGTTTCAGTAACAATTAAAGCCGGCGGTAGCAGCGTGAATAGGTTGGAGGGCTCAAAGCAGCAACGCGCTTAGCAAACTAATGTCCCATAACTTTCGCGTCGATTGGTTTGTCGTCAATCGTGTTGATTCACATCCAATAACCCGGTGTGGCAGCCTCGCACACACGACCCCCTTTTCACGGCATGCCCGGCAGTCACGC